CTATAGTATGTGCTGTGTCGTGATGTTGGAGAGAGGCTTCTCTTTTTAAATACCTTCCTCCTGTTCCCGTTGCAGCTTTATCCAGCCTGCTTATTGAGCTAAAGGTTTTTGATGGTATCTCATATCCTAAAATAACAGTGCCTTTTTAAAACTTGACTCAATGGTCATAAGCAAGCTTTCCTCCTTGGTAAATTTCATTCCTTTTAATCTACTGAATTTTCTTTTTATGAATATCTACTCTCTAAAAAGCCAATGAGCTAAGTGCCTAATGAATTAATTACTAGAAATACACAGCATAGCTGATGGGCCTGATCCAAATAATCCATTCTGATTTCAGTACCTTTGAGCCAGAGAGCTGTGTTAGCTCTCGCACCTTTGCAGCTTTCCCTTGCTGTGGAATGAAGCGACTAGGCTGCCAGGTCTTGTCCAGCTCACTGGATATTGTTAAAATGTCTGTCTGACTTTGGAAGAGAGCATTAGAAAGATTTATCATGATGTCCTAGTTTTTCCATTGATCTTTGGTAAATAAATTATAATAAAAAGATCAAAGGACTTTATGGGTTGCACAAGTATTTATGTGCAACATAGAAATTAGGCTTTTTTTTAAAAAAAAAAAAAAAAAAAATCCTGCATAATTTGAGGCATGAAGCCCAGCCTTTAGATGCCTTTTCTACATTTTAAATGGAATCTTATTATGCAGCTTCAACTCACTCGTATTCTTATTGTGTTTGGTGTTTTGACACTCATTTATGATGTTGCTGATCAATTTTAATCAGTAATGAGTTAAGCTGACCTACCTGGAATTTGAGCTCGTGAGTCATTGACTATGTGACTATATTAATGACATTTTTTTGTTAGAGGATCAACCAGCTAACATTCCAATAATGCAAAGTCAGGGTGCCTGGTGTGTTGGTCTTTTGTTTGTCTGTTTGTTGTTTGAGTTGGTTTTTTGCTTGTTTTTGTTTTGTTTTATTATATCTGAATATCATGACTAGGAAATTTAAACACTGGTCGAGAATCAAACTGTCTGCGATTGTACCATTATACCCTGAAGTTGGTAATAAAGTCAGATGTTAGTGCTCTAACAGAGGTATACCAGAAGTTAGAATCACAGGAAGAAGTCAGTGATATTTGAATGTATCGTTAAGAAGAGCAAATGTAAATGTAGGTTTGTCTTGAGCCTATGGAAGGCTTCAGCAAAAAGAGAGATGTTAAATTCTTATACATGTCAGGTGTCTCTCTACCCCCAGCAATTGTATCTTGTACTTAAAATGGTTTATTTAATAAAAAAACAAAGAAAAAAAAAAACAAACCAAAAAACACACCCAAACAAAAAACCTACAGAGTGTGGAGTAAGACAGAAAAAAAGAAATTTATCCTTCCAGCAAACAGTTCTTGCTGAATCATAATTTATGTTAGGAAAATTTCAGCTAAAGCCAGTTGGACTGTAACCAAACTGAATATACTGTTAATAGTTGATGGAATCAATCTCCAGAATGTTATTGAAGTATTTCTTCCTCTGCTGGCTAAGTGCAGAGGACTTTTCTCTTGCATGCTAGTAATTTGAGATGAATACTGAGAGTTCATTCTGAAGCACCATTTATTTACAGCTTGTGATGGGTGTTTTTTTTGTTGGGGTTTTTGGTGTGTCTTTTTTTAAAAGAAAACATGTTCATTTTTGTTTAAACTGGAGCATACTGTTTTAATATTTTTTTCGATTCAAGCTAAATACGTTATAAAATATGTTTAATTTTAGAGAATTGACAGTTAACGCTGTCTGATTTTTTCAGAAAGTTAGACGTTGAAAATACAGACATGTAGATTTGTTTCCCTACTTATATTTGTGGCTGAATTTAATGATTTTATAGCATGGTTTTGGTGTATCAGTATAAAATTTAGAACAGAGAAAGACTGAATAATTGCATACAAACTTTGTAAATTTATAAACTAAAAATTAAATAAGGTGGCTCACCTCTTCTCTCTGTCTCCCGAAACAATATTTTGTATGCTTTGGCTTCTCTTTTTAAATAAATTCATTTGTTCCTGTAGTGTTGAGGTGGTCAAGTTTTCTTCACTTCAATAGGGGATTTTTTTGTTTTTGTTGTTTGTTTAAAGGCAGCAGAAATGGGGGGGGTGGTGGGTGGTGGTACAAAAGTCTTTTACTTCTAGTAAAAGATTATTACAAGTTGATTATTTTTACAAATGTCTTCCCACATGAACTTTCTTTTTGGAAAACCTGCTAAATGATATAAATTTAAGAGCAAGTGTCCTGTTAGCACAGAATGTGATGTTAGACTGTCCATAAAATTTCTTCATGGGGTCAGCTTAGCTGTGAGCTGATGGCTCCACAGTCCTGAAGCATTGGTACGACGGCAGTTCCTGATGGGGTCCCTGACCCCAGGTAGTGGATGCTCATCTCCTTGGTTTGATGTAGCATATCATCTTCATGCACTGAGGAATAAGGAAGGCCTGTCCCACAGGGTCAGGACAGGTATTACACAGAATCGACAAGAGGTGGCTGTCCAAAGGAATTCAGAGGCTTTGGCCAATGAATGTAGGTCTTTGACTAGGCCTACAATACACCTGAAAATTTCATAGTGGGAGGAGAGGAAAATCGAACTTCCTGTAGAGCCCTGCATGAAGCAATAAAGAATGATTGTCTGGGGTGGCGCTTAAATGACAACTGTTTTCCCCCAAAAAAGTAATGAACACTAGAAATATACACTGTCTGTATGTAGAATTGGTAATGGTTAAGAGGCACAAATTAATTCATCCAATGACCATTTTCTGCTGAAAAAAAGTAGAACAAAGGAAGTTCTCTTCTGCATTGAAATCACTGAAAAAGCACTGGACTTCATTTACCAGTCTAAATCAAGTTTGCATGCATAAATTTTGGGTAAGGTGTAGGGTCTTTATTTTTTGGTTTTCTTGCAACTCATGAGACTGGTTCAGAATTTTGAATAAAGATAAGTTCAGACTACTACTTTATATGCGGCCAGATCAGATGACTCTGAGGAAGAGCTGAAATGAGTGTGTGGGACTGTATTTCAGAACATAGATCAAGTTTGCTCAGGAGGCAGGGCATACGATACACTTAGCCTTTTATGTTCCTAGATGATTCTTTGTGGTGATGAACATATAGTGTTTAATTTATATATTTATATTTGTCTTACATGTGCAACTTTAACTTCAAAATCCAGTGCTTTTCCCCATAATTTCAATATAGAATGTTATTCTTGTCCTTATTGTTTTTACTGCTTTACCTGTTTACAGGAAAATGGCAGTCTTCATGGAAAAAGTTCAGACCTCTCCACAGACATAGAAAAGTTGAAACCTCAAGAGGTACCACTTACTCTTTTTATCTTGTGTGTGGATTTTGGGGGGGGGGGGGGGGTTTTTTTTTTTTTCCCCCAATCTGCATGCAGCCTGCTACTGGAGTTTTCTTTTAAGGGTCGCAATACACTGTCTGAATTATTAAAGAGTTTAAATTGTTGGCCTAGCATTGGCTGGAATTTCCAAAGGCAAGTAAAGATAAGCAATTTTCAATTAAATAGAATTGGAATTTGATGGTAGTTAAGTACATACCTGCTAAAGGCTAATTAAATAAGACAGTGGAAGGCTGACTAAAGGACACCTTCATTTTCCTTCCTTTCCCAACTCTTGCCCAAGGTTTCTTCAGGTCAGTATAGATGGTCTGATTGTGTCCAGCAGTGATGCTTAAGGAAAGAGAGTAAGTATAGGGCAAATATTTTGCCACCTTTACTGTCATACTCTCCTGGAAGATCCCAGCACTTAGGGGCTTAGGAGATTTCTTGGACAGAGCTGACCTTTTGGACATTGTTCTGACAGCTGTTGGTGGACTTGTTCTCTGCGAGTTATGAATTTTTCTAACTTTGATTACAGCTTTGGTAATAATTACAAGCGTTTTGTGGCAAAAATACTGATGTTTTTGTCTTAAGTGTGCTGACCAGTGATTTAACTGATTTCCACTATGTTCTGAGTAGTAATGATTAGCTGTTACTGGTGTACTTTATAATTCTTTTTTTTTTTTTCCGCCACAAACATGTTTATTTTACATGCCACTTGCATGTGTCTCCTCTTCTCGACCAAATTGAAGGATCATAATATATGAGTCTCTACTTGTATAGTAACTTCTAACCCATGGTTACTTCTTGGTGCCACTCTCTGAATCTTTCTGCTTCTTCTGTATAGCTTAAGAGTTAGAGTGATTGCAGCTGCATCCAGTAGTTGAGATGAGGGTATACCATCAACTTCTGCATAATGATACTTTCTTTGTCTGTTCCTTTCTTACTCATTACTAAGTCTTGCAGTTTTTTCACTGTCACTGAACTCTGAAATGATACTGTTTCAAAAACTGTGTAGAAAAATAAGATGATATTTTTCCTTATTATGACATTGAGGTTTTTTTTAACGTATTTCTTTCATATTTATTTACACCAAATTTTATCTGCTGTTCTATCACAAATTTCATGGTGAATTTGCTTTGCAACTCTGCATTAACATGTAGTTAGGATGATTTTTAAATATTTTTTGTTATCAGCAAACTTTACCATGTCTTTATTCACACACTGTTTTTGATTTATTCATGGAATTATTGAAGAATGGTCCGAGTAGGGTTTTTTGGGGAAGCAG